CACACACACACACACACACACACACACACACACACACACACACACACACACACACATTATAAATATTTAAAAGGTGGAGCAAATGGACTTCTATTGTGTAGCTGAAGACGTGAGGAATTTTGAGTTTTAAATTGCATGACGTTTGTATTGGTCATGTAAATATATCAGAACTGAGGATACATTAGTGAAATGCGACATGACCATTCAGACTACAGTTGTTTAAAAAAACATTGGATATGTATCTGGTTTTGTACATCATATGTCAAAACCTGGGTCAAATTTAAAAAAAGAAAAGAAAAACTAGAAGCACTCGAAGAGCGCAAACCTCCACCAAGGCAATAAGGTCAATTATGCTAAAAGGCTCCCCTTGGAAAAGTCACGTTTCCAGTGCTTTATAGTAGATATAGTAACATTATGTTGTATGTATTTAGACATAATAGTAAATGATGGAAATCAAACTTTCAATGTATTCAAAGATATTTAGCTGAAAACATATGCAGACATATGCGACTGAAAACATGACCTTGCCCTTGGCGGAGGTAATAAAATTCAATCAATGTCATAACACAGATGTAAGCAGACATATTCTGTGCACATGAAGGTATGATGTAGAACAATAATATGACAACACACATGCGACTTAGAACGAAGGGGCACACCAATACTACAGTGCCACCTGCTGGACACTTTGAAACCCACTTGGGACATGAAAAAGAAATAATGGTGTTAAGATTTAAAAAATTCCTGTGTCCGCATCGTGATCCGGAACATCACCAAAATTTAATGGTGTGTTATTTGAGGCAGGACACACATGTGGTAAAAATGTTATGACAATCCGTCCACAAGTTTTTGAATAATGTTGTCCACAGACAGAACGACAGAACGACAGACGGACAGACAGACATTCGCAACCGAAAATATTACCTCACCCTTGGCGGAGGTAATAAAGAAACAAATTTTCAAACTGTAAAAAAATAAAATAAAATAAACAGCTTTGGGTCATATATGTGCTACACACAAACAAACAAACAAAAAAATCTGATTGGGTCACCTTTTCCTGCAGTGTGAACAGAGTCTGTTGGTCCACTTGAATGCAGTACAGATAACACTCACCTGCGGTACATCTGTTCAGCCTGAGGGTGGCGGCCATCCTTGAGGATCTGCACATCATTGAAGAGCAGTCGAATCATGTTGTCTGCTTTGTCTAGCTCCCTGTCCACCTCTGCTGTGTGCTGAGGTGGTTTCCCTGCATTCAGCAGAGCAATGTCCTGAACGGGAGACACAAAACAGTAATATTAAATTTCAGCCTTTTATGTGGAAAACTGATCACAAATTAAGACATATAAACACATCTCTGAAGAAAATGAAAGTCTTGTAACATTTTCTGTGGGCATAACTTTTATAACATTTCACCAAACGTGTGAAAAATACTATATTTTTGGAAACATGATGGATTTACCTTCTGCAGCAGGGTTTCCAGTTGAGTGAGCTGACCGTCACACAGCCCTGACTCCATTTGGATTTTAGTGAAAATTCTCTGGAGTCTTTCAAGTCTGGATGTCACAAGATTAAATGGAATAAAATTGTAAGTGAAACAAAAATAATGTAAAATTCATTGATCTAACACCACCACCTTGATGATTTTAGGACAGAAAATACTGTCACATAAAGTCAAAGCTAGCATGCCAGTCAGAACACCTACACTATTTTGAGAGTCACTTACAAAACTATATATTTTAAAAGGTGCATAAAAGTAAGCTTTTCTCACATTCTTTGTCGTGTATAAACAACAAGACTAAACCTAACTTTTTTCTAAATAGCACAAATATTCATGTCTGTTCAGTCAGACTGAATTATATCTATTTATGTGAATGGTAAATGGACTGTATTTATATTAGCATCTTTCTATCCATCCAGGACACTCAAAGCGCTTCACACTACAGAGACATTCACCCATGCGCACTCACATTCACACACTGATGATGGCAAACTACAACTGTAGCCACAGCTGCCCTGGGGCACACTGACAGAGGCGAGGCTGCCATACACAGGCGCCACCGGACCCTCTGACCACCATCATTAGGCAAGGCGGATAACGTGTCTTGTCCAAGGACACAACGACTGAGTCGACTGGACGGGGATCGAACCGGTGACCTTCCAGTTCCAGGACGACTCCCCTAATCACTCTACCACAGCCGCCCCTAATGTATCAGTGAGGAACATATTTATCTATCTGTATCACAAACCAACACGCATTTGCAGTTTTCAATTAAATAAGGTGAATGAAAATATTTATTGGCCAAGATTACAGTGATGTAGTTCTTTCCTTAAATCATCATTAAAATAGCAAAATAATAAATTCAAAAGCCTGTCTTGGCTTTTGAGAGACCCTTTAGGCCAGGGCCATTCAACTGGCGGTCCGTGGGCCACATCCAGCCTGCGAGTGACCAAAGTTCGGCCTGCCAATTGGTTTATTCATCTCTTAAGCCCAAACCCCCGGTTTTCTACTTTAATTACTCTAAGTTCTTTTAGTTAAACATAGACATGTTTGGTATCTACAGAAACGTCATAATCTTGGCTAGAAGCTGGTAAAAACATTTCTATAAACACTTAAGACAGTTAAAACCACAAGCAGTTGAACATAAAATGATGAAAGTGAAAATAAAATTGGTCAGAGATGTCAAAATATTTGTGTCTAATAATTTGGAGGCATAATGTGTTATTTTTATTTTTGATAATGTGTAATTATCACTACTTTTATAGGGTTCTAAATGTTGTATTCATGATTAAATGCAGCAAAATAAACTAATTCAAAGGTACCATATCTTTGTAATACTTGGTTTATTTACACAATAATTTTAATTGCTGGGTGTTCGGCCCCTCAGCTGTTGACCGGCAGTAACTGTGGCCCCCCGGAGCAATTTAGTTGAATAGCCCTGCTTTTGGCCATACTTCATTCTTGCTTTCACAGCAAGAATTCTCACAGCAAGAGGGTTTGATAATATATGTGAGAGCAAGAATGAAATATGGCCTTAAGGGCCTCTCATATATTAGCTGCAGTACAAGTTCTTTCTCCCCAGCTTCTTATTACTACTTTACATCAAAATACCAGGATGAGGAGTTTTTGTCTCATTCTTATTTAAACGAGCTCTGTCTTGTCATTTTAAAGAAACTCCTGTTATTATTCTCCACTGCTAGGAAAAGTGTGTGTTTGTGCATCCAAATGTTTGTCTGTTATCAAAAAGTCTCAATCACTGGGTGGATTTTAATTAGATTTTTAAAAAGGTATCATTACATGAACATGTACAGATATGGAGCTAAACTTTGGAGTGGTAATAGGTGAGAGTTGTCCACAACATTTAAAGTTTTGGAATGCAAGATTGAGGGTAAAAATAATTTTCTTGAAGGAACGCTACTTTTTTTCTTATTTTGTAATTCCTTAACTATTCCAGAAAAGTACAAAATTTAGCTAAATTACTGTAAGCATTAAAATATAAATATCTGTTTTTATGTTTTCAATTGTTTTGTTCCTGATAATACATAATTATTTCTGATTTTTCTCTGAATCAGTGAACTGGAAGCAGCTAAACTTATGTTCAGTGTTTCCTCTGATTTATTTCTGCATGGCTCTAACTTGTTAGCACTACATTCCTTGCCAAGGGGAGAATGGATACAAGTGACTGAGAGCAGAGGAAAGATAAATAGCTCCACAGTCCTGACCTTTCAAACTCAATCCTGAGCAGTCGCTCTCTCTCAAGGATGGCCACGTGAAGTCGACCCCACTCTTTCTCCACATCAATGGGATGGTAGCCTGGAGGGACCTTCACCTGACCTGCCTGCACTGCACTCTGTGGACAGTTGGAGATTTGACGACTTTCTTAATTATGCTGGAATACGTGACTGTTTATAGAACAAAAATTAAATAAAAGAAGGATTAGCTTGCCTCAAACGTCTGGTAGATTTGTTTGGAGTGATTCTTGTCCGTCTCTTTCACTGGCAGCTCAGATTCTTTGAACTTCAAAAACTGACGCCAGAGAAGCTAAATACAGAAATACACACAAGAAAAACAAAAAAAAAAAAATTACACTGGCAATTTTTTGTTACATTCTGTCAACATTTGTTTCTTTAACTAACCCAATAGAATGGTTTTACTTGTTGGTTATAATCACATCACTTTTGCAGATGTGAACCTTGTCCCCAGAAGAAAAGGTAAATGAAAGCAACGCATCACATGGCAGATATTGCCCAGTAAACAGTAGGGTGATAAAGGCTCTGCCGTCTGAAAGGACTGACCTCATCAGCACATGTTCCCATGACTGGTGAAAATTCAATCAAGCCTATAACGAGTCACATCTTTTCACTGCCATATAAAGTAAAGCAATGGTAAGTGGAGATTGCTTATGTGTTTTTAAAAAAAAGTCCAATCAAACTCACTTCTATGTATGGTACATGTCTCTTAATGCAACTTTGAAAATAAAGTAAAGCTACTTGATTCAAGCTTCAGTGCTGGCAAACAGTGCTGAATGACAAAGTGGTGAATCTCTTGAGGATTAAGTCAAATAGTTCAGCTGCAGTTTCTCAGCACCAGCACCACCACACCTAAATCACAACAATACCTGCAAATACAATTTCCTTTGTCTGCCCTCAGCCATACTACATCAAAGAGTGTTCTATCATCCAACAATGGATGACCAACCAAAAAACAAACATCTTTTCATGATTCAGACAGAACACAATGTAGAGGACATAAAACAAAAGCATTTTTTTTTCTTTACTGATGTAAAGTTTCCTCAACAAAATGTCTGGCCTGGAGGCACAAAAACACCATATTATTTGCATTTTGGCTCACCTCTATCTCCTCATAACTGGCTGGGAACCTTCTCTCTTCAAAGATGGTGACATGGTGGCGGATCCACTGGAGGAGAATGGTCACAAGTTCATAGTATTCCTGCCAACGCAGCTCCAGCTCCTGCAGCCAGCACAGCACAGACACTCATGAGAGTTTGACAACAACAAACAGAAGGGTTCTCATTCTCTGGCTTCTGCGTTTTCGTCAATCACACATCAGCCTGAATTCAATTAAAAGCAACAATCCACAAGTTGTGTTTAAAGGAGGGGACTGGGGAACAAGAAGACAATGGTGAAACACAGAAGGCAGAATATTTTAAGGCTTTTCAGATTACATGAGTATGCAGGCATTCCTATAAGTATATTTAAAGAGAAACATATTTAAAATATAATTGTGGATCATATACATTTAGGTCAACTTTAAAGTGCCTGTGACATGCATATTCGTCAAATACAAAAAGTCAAAGAAAACATCTTTGTATTGCAGAAAGTTGGAATGATACAGTACACATGATTTAACTCATTTTGTCCCATTACTGGCATATTTTCTTTTGAACTTGGCTCAGCCAAATTGAAACAGTAAGTGAATCAAAGGGGAACTCTTTAACAAAGAAAACTCTTTGGTCTTTGTTTGGTGAAACAATATTATTTGAACTCTGACTCTTTTTCATCTCTCTCTGATAGTGACTCAAAATAATCTCAAGAAACATCAGATTCTTTTCTACAGTCCAGGTTGTTGGCTGTTGTAACAACACTCTGTCCACATGCAGACATTCCCCTTTGACATCACTTCCTGTTGCTTCACAGGCAAATATTTCAACAACTGTTCATCTCAGCAACATGAAATTTCTTTAGCAATATTTTATCAATGTCCTCTTTCTAAAAATGCATTCATATGTATTACAAAAATTTGACATCACAGGCACTTTAAGAATAAAAGATCAGTTCAAACAAATACAGCCAAGAACAAAAGGAACTTCCACCCGAAAATAGTTTCAATCTCAATCACATACTTTCACGTGAACAGTTGTTTTATATTATTCATATTATATTTATTTGTAAGTGCAAACAGCATCAGCAGCTACCTGTAGCAGCCTGGGGTAAAATTCAGTAGGAATATCTTATTATTTCTGTTTGAATGACGTGAACATTAATGTCAGGATAAAGTTTTATAAAATAATGTTCACTTGAACTATAAACTGTTTAAAATTGAAGTCGTTTTATGATGGCAAAATCTGCTTTGGAAGTAGATCCACTTGGACAAACAATTGTTGTGTCAGTACAGTCATAGGATTCTGATGCTCCTGCAGGAAGTGCACCAGGCTGCACTGGAAATGATACAGCTGGCTGCTGTTATCACAGATTGGGCTTGTAATTACCCATAGCATTCTATATTAATAATTACATAATGGGAAATTAATGACAGTCTAAAAGTTTATAAAACTCCACATTTACCACTCTAAAGTTCGGGGGATTGAAGCAGTTTGAGGATGACAGCAATCCAGTTCGTCTACCTGTTACCTCATCAGATCTGTTGGTCTTAAAACCTTTTTTCTTTCTCCTAATTGTTAAAAAAATCTATCTATCAAAGGTGTAAATCATCACTTTCATTACAATACCATATGATTTGTTTGGATGGCGATACAGCATTTCTCATTATCACAAATTCTGTCATGATACCATTGTCTGTTAGATAAGTCTATTACGTCTTGAGATACTTTTTGTCATGTACAATGCATTAGACAAATCAGAAATCAAATGCTCTACTAAAGGTGGAATCTCAAGCATTTAACTAAATGTGGCCAAACATTCCAACCAACCAATCTGCTTACATTTGCTCTGAGACCATCATGGACATCAACACGAGGCATAACATCATATAAAGACGACACATAGGTGATGATTGACTTCTCATCAGGGTGTGGGACATCGACATCTGAAATATTCAAATAAAAGGGTGTTAGAAGACATCTACATAAATACCAAATTCTTCTGTTCCTGTTTAAATAAACATTGCCAGCTGTACCTTCAGGGTCCAGGAGGCGGGTAACGCCCAGGTCTCTCTCAGCCACACTAAATGCCTGTTCCAGGTTCTCATGGTTGGTTTGTTGGTACACTTTACCCATATCAATGAGTCTGGGGCTGATAAACACAAAGTACACATATCAGAAACAAGGTTTTGTTATAAAAATACAAGCAGCTTTGTTTCTTTTACATTTTTAGACAGAAAAAGATTTATGGTACTACGGTCCTTTAGCAATTAAGCTCATCTAGAACCAAATAGTTTTTTAGTAACCGCAAAACAGACCGAGCAGAAGATTAGTGTATTCTTTTAATTTACAAATGGCACATGTCACACCAAACCCACAAATATTAATCTAACATGTGATTTGTTTTAATAAATGCATGGGCAGAACTACTCAGCCTTCATACCTCAAGTGAACGACACCAGCAGAGGTTTTTGAGATTTTCCTGCCAATGGCTAAATGCTGTAAAGAAGCCCACCTGTTCCCTTTCTGAGAAAACCTCCACAAGCACCTGCCTTTTTGTCCTCTGGGTGTTTGACTCTTCTTGGCACATGTCAGAGCCTCTCTAGCCGGAATGTAATTTACTGAGCAGCTAACAGAATCAAAGCTGACACATTTAAAGTCAACGACCAGCCACGGCTTGACTCCAAAAAGAGAAAAAAGTTCAACTCCTTAAAGTGGAAGAACAAATATTGAATGCATCACATAACCTCCTCCATCCTTCATCCAAACCTAACTCTTACGTGACTTAAGATCACACATGGACTCAGAGCTATTTCCAATCTATTTTTCAAAACATCAAAATGAAATCTCTCTGCAGCAATCATTCTGACATTGGAAAGTAAAGGCGGTGTGCAGACTCTTACAGATCTTGGATACGTAGAGTGGAATAGCCAGGGCTCTGTCCATACACAGGAGAAGCCACATGGCGGACTTCTCTTACAGAGTACTGTTTTCTTGGTCTCGTGAAGCTGCTCATGGTCTGAAACTCTCTTCCATGAAAACTTTGAGACCTCCATTCATGATGCGGCTCTTCGCTGACAGAGCGAGCCCCAGAGCTATGAGAACCCCGGCCCGAGTCAAAGGAGGATGCCTCAGATGGGATGTCCTCACACAGCATGACCACACGGTCATCAGCATCACTGGACACAGACTTTCCACGAATAAAGCCCTGGCTGCCCTTCCTCTGCTTAGACTTCCTTTTCATGCTAAGCATTTTAATGACAGCAGGATGGTCTTCAATGACGTGTAAAGAGACTGTTGAAGCAGTTCTAGTTACAGATCCATGGATTCATTCAAAGGACTTGATAACGAGATCATTGCTGTAAATAAATCCATTCTGGTGTTGTTTTAGAAGCCCTGCAGCTTCTGAATCTTCTCTGGAACCTTTTCCTTGATCAATAAGATGGAAAAAAAATCTCACAGTTGCTTTTCAAAGTTCCTGCTTGTTGATACAAGTTATATGAAACTTAAAATGCAGCAGTAGGTTTTCCAATCCAGGTCAAAAACGCGTACGTAAAGACTAAAAAAAAATCTCAAATTTGCTGAATGAACACATATTCTGCTCCAGTGTGTCCTGACTTATGCCACGAAACAAAGTAGTGCCACAGTTTTCCTGCAGCAGATACTGCTCTACTAGTCACGCCCACAGACACCACACCCCTGACCTTTCTGAAAAGCAGAAATGAGCCGGCCTCAAGAGTCTCAAAAAACAGGTTACAGGTAGAAGTTCAGTGTTAAAGAAAATCTGCCCCTGCAGGTACAGTTCTCTTTTCTATCATAATAGCTTGAAAGACATGCAAACATTTCTCTAATCCCTCTTTTCTCTTGTTTGCTCTGGATTTCACATGAACACCACTGTTCTAAAACTAATCATTGCTTATATACACTGTCAAAGCTTCCTGAGAAATGTGTGCACATTCACCTCCCAGGATGACAACACACAAAACAACATCAAACCACTAAGTCTGGCACAAAAACACACAGAAACTAGGACCATCACAATATTTATGGTACAACAGCAAGAGCTAAAGATTTGATTTTCCATTACTAGATTTCCAACAGCTTATTCTTTCAATTCAAGTTTCTTAACAAAACCCTCACAACCAACAACCACTAATAGTTTCTATCATGAAGAAACTCACATTCTCTGTGATTTAGTAGCTACTGTACATTAACAAGAGCACTATCAAGTGTTGTTGCTAGAAACTGACAGAATATTTTAAAGTGGAACATAAAAACATTTTTACACTGAAGAAAAAAATAAATTCTATTTCAATTTTAGTATGTTGGAGCAAGTGGGCTGTATTTGAGTTTTCTTTACTCTTAATGGGGGCTTAATATGCAAAATTGACATTTTTGATCTTTATATCATGTTCTAATATCATCCTCTCATCAAAAACACACTCAGAATGTTGCTTTGACTCATTCATACATGTTTGAGAAATCCTTGAATCTCCTGTGGTATCCATGTGGAGATGCCTAAAACCTGGTACAAAGCCCCACCTATTTACACAGAGCTCCTCCCTGGAGCTCAGTCCTCAGCTTACTTTAAAATGTCCCTAAGTCGATTTTTAGAAATAATAATAATTAAAAAAAAAAGGAAATCCAACATCCATTTTGTAACCACTTGGGACATCCTGACGTCACAGGCAGCTGGTTCTGGAATGTACACGTGTGCAGAAAGCACCAAAACAAAGAGGAAACTACAAAACTGGAGGAAAAAGAGATTCAACTGACCACGTCTTTACTAAATGCATAGATTTGGGCTCATTTTGTTTTTCACTGAATGACTGTGAGTTTGACATGAGCTTCACTGTGTGCAAAATGAAGATGAAGCACTTTAGGAACACGACAAATGGGCTCACATTGAGTTTTGAGTGAAAAATAGATTTTGAATTGAATTGTGACCCCAAAAATCTGAATCGAATTGAATCATGAGAGAGTAAAAGATTCCCACCCCTAATATATATGTGTGTGTGTGTGTGTGT